ATATTCATTTTCTTTTAGTCAAATCATTTTACACAAAATTCTTGTGTTACAAAATCAATATTTTAAAATGCAATAATTTTGTTAATGTCATTAATTTTGCATAATATCCCTCCCTATATATTAATTCAAAACGTGTTGAGTTTAGGTGGCAGATTCTCACGCTTCGAATGCTAACATGGCGAAAATCTATGCTTCATGATTTTGTTTTTATATTATTTTTGCTATGGAATTAGGTTTGGTATTAGACATAAATAACTTTACACATATATTCATTAACTCAACACACATGTTGTATATGGGTATTAGTACTAGTTATATTCTAATTTGAAAGACTTGGTCCTTACTGCATGTGTTTTATACTTCAACTAGTAGATAGATATCCTGTGCGTATGCACAAATGTACATAAAATATTAGTAAGTAATATTTGAGAATTTAATATTAAAATTCTTAAAAATTTGATCATTAGGAAAAATAAATTAACGATTTTCTTATTATGAAAAATAATTCATTATCATTAGATAATAACATTATTATTATTATTATTATTATTATTATTATTATTATTATTATTATTATTATTATTATTATTATTATTATTATTAAAAACAATTGTTTATAAGCTTCTAAAGTTGTTTGATTATGCTATTAAAACAATTTAATAATTGTTTTTAAAGAAATTCTTTCATGAGATACAAAAGAAAAAGAAAATATTGATGTTAATATAAGTAACTTAAAACAATTGTTTATAATTATGTAATTTATATTTATTGTAAATTATTATTAGTTGGTATTAGCAATAACTATTATATAATATAATAGAAAAATACATGATTACACTTAATAGGATGTGTTAATGTGAGAAGTTAAAAAATATTAATGATAAATTTTGTAACTGAAAAGAGAGAAAAAATTTTAGAGGTGTTATTAAATAGGTAAAATTAAATGCTAAGCTAGCAATTTACTAAAATTGCTTTTGTAAATGATTCATTTATAAGATTCTAAAGAGGTGTTATCTTTTGTAAATGATTCATTTATAAGATTTTAAAGTTGTTTAACTAAGCTATTAAAACAATTTACTAATTGCTTTTAAAGAAATTTTTTATGAGATACAAAAGATAATATTGATATTAAAATACATAACTTGAAACAATTGTTTATAATTATGTAATTTATATTTATTGTGAATTATTATTAGTTGGTATTAGCAATAATTATTATATAATATAATAGAAACATACATGATTACACTCATTAAGATGTATTAATGTGAGAAGTAAAAAATATTAATGACAAATTTTGTAACCGAAAATGGAGGGAAAATTTTAGAGGTTTTATTAAATGTTTTATTAAATGCTACATGCCTGCAATTATATATATATAGATAATTTTGTTAATGTGTTCTATAATATATAGTGTGCCCATATATACATATGTTTGTATGTGAAGTTGTATATTGAGTTTGTAAGATGTTCACACTGCTTCATGTGTGCTTGATTAGTGTCCGCAAAAATGAGAATTGATCAAATGTGTGATCAATTGCATATTTGTATGTTATCGTACATGCGCTGAGCCTAAATGGCAGGCTCGTATAATTCAGAATTTTATTGGTATAATTATATGTTTTTTATTGACACATGTACATGTTTGATTTTAGGCTTGGCAATTACCATAAATTATTTTAGATTTTTTTTTTTAAAATTATCATATACTACTCTTATTTAGTTATTTTCTCTTATTTAATTCATATAATATTTGTTATAAATATGTATTATTTTTATTTTTAAATTCTTGTAAAAATTTTATTTGTATTTTATTTGTTGTACATTATATCTCAAAATAATCATATTTTAGCGATCTTCGATGTGGCATTCATATTGCATATATAAAATAAAAAATAATTGTATCTTTCATTATAAATAAAACTAAATTTATTAAAAAAGATAATTTCAAAAATATAAATACAACATAAATTATTTTATAAAAAATATAACAAAAAAATCTAATTCGGTAATACATACTAAAATAATAATTTTAATGCGGTTTTTTCATAGAGTTTAAATAAAATAAGAAAATTAAGTATAAAAATACAGGAAATTACTAATTTGATAGTAATTCATTATATTTGTATATTCATTATACATAATTTTATAATAAAAAATAAATTATTTTAGTTTTTCTATTATGTAAATATTAATATATTTAAGTACTTGTGTAGTACACGAGTATTGTACCAGTAAAGAGTCAAATCTCAAGAGATGTGGATGAAAAAGCCATAACTTTGTGCATTTACTATTAATTAAGACATTGTGAGTATTTATTTTTGGCCTAATTGCTGGTAAAAGCACGACCTTACAACTTTTTGCCGTTTTAACCAAACTTTTGGGATTTAGCAAGAATAACCTAACATTGTCCCATGTTTGCACCCGAACTCAAATTCAAACGGCCGTCTTATTTTTGCCAGCGTGTCCGTTAAGCTCTACCTACGTGGACTAACTTTTCTTAGTGTTGTGACATGGTAAAGACATTATAAAACGCTCATTTTCTCCAAATCAAACCACCACCCATGCCCTAATTTCAAAATCGTCCTCTTCCCCAAATTTCACAGCTTCATCCCCAAATTTCAAAATCGTCCTCGTTCATCCTCTTCCCCAAAGTTTAGTCGTACAAGTATCAACATCCATTGAACCCTAATTTTCGATCTTATTTATTCGCAGCTTCATCCCCAAAATTGTCGATCGTGTTCTTACCCAAATTTTACCCTAATTTTGTAGCTTCATCCTCTGACAATTGTCGATCATGTTCTTCCCCAAATTTTTACCTTAATTTCGCAGCTTCATCCTCTGAAAATGTCGTACTCATCTCGTACAAGCCAAAATTCGCAACATAGCGCTTCATCCAATATCCCAATGCGGAAGCAGTGCTGCCATTTGGAAGAGGCCGTTGTTTTGACCTCAAAGACTAACGACAATCCATGTCGGAGGTGCATGATTTCTTGTTATGCCCCTTTTGCAAACACCTCTGACATGTCATAATCAACCCAAACCTTCTGATCAACTTGCTTCCACTTGTGACTTCTTCCTCAGGAGCCCTTCTTCTTTTTTTCTTAGGTCTTCCTGGCATCTTCTTGATTGGAGGAGGTAAGATTGGATAACCTTGTGCAGCTGGCCACATCTTTTTGCCATTTATGAGTTCCAATGAGATGCTATACATACTCAAGTACTTCTCAGTATAAAAATACTCAGACACAAAGTCTATTGGATCTTTCTGCTGAAAGTGTATTGCTGAGCAAGCATGCACACAAGATATTCCTGTTATATCCCACTGTCTACAAGTGTAGATATTATTCTTCAAATCCACCACAAACTGATCATCTTGTAAAGCAACCTGAAACCTATCACCAACTGCAGGCATTGTGACACAGACTCTTGACAAATATTTATTTTGTTCTACCTTTGATCTAATTCTAGGACAAAGCTTGTCATGATGTACTCAACTCCATCAATTTCCCATGTTGTCTATTCCTTAGTTCAGTCCTTACAAATTCAAGCATCTCAATGATGTGATATCCTCTTTCCTTAACTATAAATCCATTGAAAGTGTCACTAACATTATTTCAATCATATCACACCTAGGAAGAGGAGAGACAAATGCCTTACAAAACTTTGAAGGATCTCTGTCGATAAAGTCTCATAAGCTGCTTTGCATCCTGCCTTCAAGTCCTCCAAAGCAATGTTGTAGTCTCCTAAGTGAGTGCTTATAACAATCCTCCAGAACAAACCCTACAAAGGTATTTTCCCGAAGTAAGAGCTCAAACCTTCCCTCTCTATCAACCATAATCAACTCATAGAAATGAGAAATGTTCTATGACAGAACCTCTGAGCATTTCAAGTGCTTTCCACTTGGCTCTATAAAGCTTCCACTTTATAGGTACAATTACAAACTTTCCCGAAATTGCCTCTTCCAATTGTGCAACTGTCATGTTTGGATTCCTTCTGAATTTTTCACCACACTCTTCAGCAATCCACTGAGCAGTTAGTTGTCTAGTGTGCACATTCCTATGACATACACGCGCTTTATGCAGTTGTTTTATAGCTACACTACCTTCTTTTTCAATCACACTGGCATAAAGTCTCTAAGGGCAGCCATATTGACATCTAACTTCCAATTGCCTTCTGTTACACCTTATATTCTGAATATCTCTACCTTGCACAATTGTCACCCTTATCACAGCTTTCTTGCACTGTTCAATGCTTTCAAACCTCATGTCAAGCTAAAAGTCAAGTGCATTATGATCACACTTGGGATCATACAATAACCTTGTCCTCATTTTAACAAAATTCCCTTCCAAATACACTTCTCTGTCACTATCTGACTCATCAGAGATTAGTGCATTATGTAACAATTCATCATCTTCAAAGTCCATCCCAGCTGTGGCCATTGGATATGTATTGGCCTGCATCATCATCACAATCTTGAACTTTCTTCTTAGACTCCTTCAAGTTCTTTTTTGCCTTAACATATTCCTCATCATCAAAAATAAGATCATCAGATAGGTCATCATCTGATGAACTCACCCCATTTGGAAAATAATCTTCATCCTCAGATGCCTCATGTGACCCCAACCCAGCACATACACTATTAGTTTCTGCATCACCTTCACCATGTTCAACAGAAGTGAAATTGTCTATAATATCATTAATATCTTCCAAATGGTCTGCAGGCTCATTCTGAATTGATGCCTCAGCCTGACTCAAACCATTCACCTTTTCCCTATGATCTTCATCTTGCTGGCCATCAGATTTTGTCTGGCTCAAACCATTTACCTCTTTTCCATCATCTTCATCTTGCTGGCTATCAGATTGTGTCTGACTCAAACCATTCACCTCTTCTCTATCATCTTCATCTTGCTGGCTATCAGATTGTGTCTGACTCAAACCATTCACCTCTTCCCTATCCTCAGCATTCTCATATGCTTCATCATCAATGATGTCACCACCAACCAAATAAATCTGAATTATAGTTCTCTTATTCTTACCACAACTAATAATCTCCATAACCCTTTTGTCATCAGTTACATCTTTCAAACTATCAGCTTCAACACCAACATCAAGTATTCTATACACAATTTTTTCATACTTCTTAAATCCCAACTTCTGAATTTCTTCTTGTAGGTCAAAGTAGCCAAACCTATCCGCATCTAACCCATAAATACTCTTCAAAGTACCACTTAGATACTCCACAATAGGTCCACATTTCACAAAATAACTGCCAAAATTGACAACCAATGCAAATTTGTCTCTGCAATTAATTAAACATAGAAAAAAAGCATCAAACTCAATAATCCACTCATAACCCTGATTATATCATAAACCTAATGTCGAAATGAATTTACAATAACAAAAAACTGTAAACATTTCGAAATTGTTCGAAAACCTAATTTCAAAATGAATGTACAATAAAAAAAATGTAAGCAATTAGAAATTGTTCGAAACCCTAATTTCAAAATAAAACCCTAATTTGAAGAGAAACTCTAAATTCATAAACATATTTTAAATCTTTCGAAGCCCTAGGTCAAAATCTACAATAATATTTAACAAATCGATCACTACTTAATATGTAATTAACACTGAATTAAAAATTCACAAACAAGAAAATGTTCCCAGATCCCTAAGTTCGAATCGAACGACGATTTTCATATTCCGAATTTCGACAACAACAAATAAGAAAATGACGGATTGACATACCTGTCGGTCATAGTCGCTTCAATGGGACCGCAATTTGTGAGCTTCGGCAACAAGATTGTGAGCTTCGATGATAATGGGACCACAGCGTTTTCAAAGAACGAAAAAAAAAAAAAAAATTCCAAGTCTGAAAAGTGAAATTAGGTTTTCTTGATTTGGAGGAAAATGAGCGTTTTATAATGTCTTTACCACGTCACAACACTAAGAAGTAAGTTAGTCTACGTAGGTAGAGCTTAATGGACACGCTGGCAAAAATGAGATGATCGTTTGAATTTGGGTTCGGGTTGCAAACATGGGACAAGGTTAGGTTATTCTTGCTAAATCCCAAAAGTTTGGTTAAAATGACAAAAAGTTGCAAGGTCGTGATTTTACCGGCAATTAGGCCTTTATTTTTTGTTATATAGAAGCATGATTTTAGGACATAAGAAGTTATAGAGTTATAATTTTTCAAAGAATATGCATATTCTTAATTTAAAATAATATAAAAAAAAACAAAATAAAGAAAAAGATGACATTTCACATGATATATATGTATTTATTTAAAAGTATGATTGATACACAACCAAATTGTTGATTCAAATCGTCTTTTATTTCCAATGCAATCAGAATTATGATTGTCATTAATTATAAAAAACTACATTAACGTACATGAAGTTATTTAGCAAAATCTATCTATCTATATATATATATATATATATATATGGTTGGGTTCACATGAGAATGGTTCTCAATGAAAGAAATAAGAATAACTTGTAGTCATTAGATCAGATGATCTGATGGCTAAAAAGAGAGTCAAAATTATACCTCATTAAGGGTATTATGGACATTTACGCCCTACCAATTATTCAGCACATCAGTGGGACCCACACCAAATTAAAGTAGTTCCTATTCCCCTATTCCCCAAATCACGCCCATTAAATCTGTCACTCACCTTAAATCTCTCTCTCACACAGTACCTATTCTCTCTCTCACACACTCACCCATTAGACAAACGCACGCCACACACACAGACCATTAAACACACACACACAGATACACACACAACAAACACTGACCACACACACAGAGAGATACACACACAACACACACAGAACATTAAACACACATAAATACACACACAACACACACAGAACATTAAACACACATAAATACACACAACACACACACACAGAGCATACACAGTCCGCCGGCGAGACACACACACACATACCATCGCTGACGGCGGTCACACACCCACAGAGCACACAGTGTCGACCATCATAATAGCCGCTGCAACTGCCACGCCATAGCCGCCGTCGCCGCACTTCCTGAGATTCGCCTCCGACTAATTCCGGCCGTCTCGGTTCGTCTCCGGCGACCTTCCAACGGCTTCTAACCTTCGATTCATCTCAATACAGACCTCCGTCACTGCCCTAGTCATCTCCGGCGACCTTCATCCGCCTGTCTTTGGGAGGAGATATGGGCAGAGATCTTTGAACGACGCCATCACCGGACGTCCGCCGCCTCTTGCAGGTCGAACCTCTCCATCCCCGGTGTGGGAGACAGTGATTCGTGCAAATATGAAAGCTGTAATTGAAATGTGGGGTTGGGCCTTTTTTTGAGAATTAGATTATGTTTAAGGACCTATTTGCAATTTTAATATTTTTAGTTATAGTTCAATTTAACCCATGGGTTAAATTTGTAATTATTGAAAGTTAATAAAAAATTGTTTTTTTATATATTTTTGTTATGTATATATATCAAATGATAAATAAATTATTAAATAAAAAATATTATAAAATATTTAAATAATATAAAATTAATTTATAATAATAATAAATTTTATAATAAAAATAATAAATAAAAAGAAATTATTTATTTAGGTTAATTAGATGTACAATTATATCTATTAAAAAAAGTTTTGGAATTCACATAATTTATTTGGGGATGTATAAATCGGTGCACTCTATATAGCAGAATAGTGCACTCTATAAAATAACACATTGCACTTTATAAAATAACACATTGTACTTTATCACTCCACTCCACAATCAATGTCAACAGCTCGTATACAGCAGAGTAGTGCAACACATTGCACTTATAAAACAACACAATCAATGTCAAGAGCTCCCGACTCCCGTCAAAATAATACGCGATATAATTTAAAAAATGTATATACATAATACTTTAACATACATCACATCATCTATCCAAATAAATACACAAGCATGCTAACACGTACCAAGTTTCGATATTGCACTTTATTTATAATTACGTTGCACTGTATAAAACTATACGTTGCACCTTATAACACATCTTGTTACACCTTACAAAAAAAGCACGCTACATGTACAAAAAAGACAGTAATTCAGATAATCGATCGAAAAATAGTTTTTTACATATACAAAATAACTATACACGCCGAACTATTACTATTTTTTTTTTCCTTTTTTTATGAAATGTTAAATAAAAATATTAGAATACTCAATAAGATTTTATAATATAAATAATAATTTAATTAATTTGTTTTGGTTATTTCGATTAACTGATCAAATAAACTAATTAATTTAGTTCTATGAATTGATGTCGTTTTTATTTGTGCATTCTTTCGTATCAATTAATGTGGATTTTATTGGTTTAT